AGACCCTTCATCAGAAAAGGGGGGAGGGGAAGGGGGTTTTGAAATAAATAGGGAGAGAGTGGGAGGCGGATAGAAGAGGGATAGAGGAGAGGATAGGTGGAGAGGAAACAAACAGGTCGAAGAGGCGGGGATGGGGCCAGGAAAGGTGAGTGTAGGTAGGGAGTTAGGAAGGGGATAGGTCAGTCCAGGGAGGACGGACAGGTCAAGGGGGCGGGATGAGGTTGGTCGGTAGGAGATGGAGGTGCGGCTTGGGGTGGGAGGAGGGGATAGGTGGGAGGAAGAACAGGTTAGGGAGGCAGGGACGAGTTGGACTGGTTTTGGGATGCGGTGGGGGGAGGGGAGATTTTGAAACTTGTGAAATCCACATTGATACCATTGGGCTGCAGGGTTCCCAAGCGGAATATGAGTTGCTGTTCCTGCAACCTTCGGGTGGCATCGTTGTGGCACTGCAGGAGGCCCAGGATGGACATGTCGTCTGAGGAATGGGAGGGGGAGTTGAAATGGTTCGCGACTGGGAGGTGCAGTTGTTTGTTGCGAACCGAGCGTAGGTGTTCTGCAAAGCGGTCCCCGAGTCTCCGCTTGGTTTCCCCGATGTAGAGGAAGCCACACCAGGTACAGCGGATGCAGTATACCACATTGGCAGATGTGCAGGTGAGCATCTGCTTGATGTGGAAAGTCTTCTTGGGGCCTGGGATGGGGGTGAGGGAGGAGGTATGGGGGCAGGTGTAGCACTTCCTGCGGTTGCAGGGAAAAGTGCCGGGTGTGGAGGAGCTGGAGGGGAGTGTGGAGCGGACAAGGGAGTCACGGAGAGAGTTGTCCCTCCGGAAAGCAGATAAGGGTGGGGAGGGAAAGATGTCTTTGGTGGTGGGGTCGGATTGCAGATGGCGGAAGTGTCGGAGGATGATGCGTTGGATCCGGAGGTTGGTGGGGTGGTACGTGAGGACGAGGGGGATTCTTTTTTGGTTTTTATTGCGTGGACGGGGTGTGAGGGATGAGGTGCGGGAGATGTGGGAGACACGGTTGAGGGCGTTCTCGACCACCGAGGAGGGGAAGTTACGGTCCTTGAAAAACGAGGACAACTGAGATGTACGGGAGTGGAATGCCCCATCCTGGGAGCAGATGCGGCGGAGGCGAAGGAATTGGGAATAGGGGATAGCATTTTTGCAGGAAGGTGGGTGGGAGGAGGAGTATTCTAGGTAGCTGTGGGAGTCGGTGGGCTTGAAATGAATATCGGTTTCTAGGTGGTTGCCCGATATGGAGACAGAGAGGTCCAGGAAGGGGAGAGAGGTGTTAGAGATGGTCCAGGTAAACTTAAGGTTGGGGTGGAAGGTGTTAGTGAAGTGTATGAACTGTTCGAGCTCCTCGTGGGAGCACGAGGCGGCGCCGATACAGTCATCAATGTAACGGAGGAAGAGGTGGGGTTTAGGGCCGGTGTAGGTACGGAAGAGGGATTGTTCCACGTAACCTACAAAGAGGCAGGCGTAGCTTGGGCCCATGCGGGTACCCATGGCTACCCCCTTTGTCTGTAGGAAGTGGGAGGAATTGAAAGAGAAGTTGTTGAGTGTGAGGACGAGTTCGGCTAAGCGGATGAGGGTATCAGTGGAGGGGGACTGGTCGGGCCTGCGGGACAGGAAGAAGCGGAGGGCCTTAAGGCCATCTGCATGGGGAATGCAGGTGTAGAGGGACTGGACATCCATGGTAAAGATGAGGTGTTGGGGACCGGGGAATTGGAAGCTCTGGAGGAGGTGGAGGGCGTGGGTGGTGTCACGGACATAGGTAGGGAGTTCCTGGACCAAGGGGGAGAAAATGGAGTCTAGATAGTTGGAGATCAGTTCGGTGGGGCAGGAGCAGGTGGAGACAATGGGTCGACCAGGGCATTCAGTTCCTACTATCTCAGAGTCTGATCTTCTCCAGTCCTTATCATGGACTAACTCATCTCTTTTAATTTGACAAAACTGTTGCTTTTCTCTGCATCCTCTTCAGTTCAAGGACATCCTGTTGTACATTTTATATTGAGGCAGCTCATTCTTAAGTGTTTCAGTTTCAAGTACAAATCAGATGACTGAATTTACTGGTTTCTGATATGTACTTCAGATTTTCCTTAAATTAACTGTAGTTGGTTTACCAACAGCTGGTCAAAATCCAGTTTTAAACAGTAACTAATGAAGTTTGTTTTTGGCCACAGCTGTGAATTAATATGAGTTAAAGTATGATGTACAATTTGGTGATAGTTGGACATTGCTTCTGCCTGATTCCAGTTGATCCAAGATATAACCGAGAGAGATTTAAATTACATTACCTATTTCCTGTATTACATCTTGATTATATCTTTACAATGGGAGAAGTTTGAACATCTCTGCAGTGGTTAGTGTGCTGGAATAATAGGGTATTGAATGACCTAATAACCCAGTAAAAATAAGGATCCCGCGATGACAAATGTGGGAATTTAAATTAAGTTTAAACATCTGGAGATAAAAAAATGGTTTGATGAAGTTTATCAATTCTTAATTTAAAAACTCAACTGGTTTGTCAATGCCCTTTAGAGAAGAAAATCTGATGTTATTAGTGGAACTGACTCCTATGTCAATCAACTACCACATGGTGTGCTCTGAAATGACATACAAGCCATTTAGTTCAAAACAACTAGAGATGAGCAGTAAATTCCAGTCTCATCAGCAACACCCAAGAATGAAAATTAGAATGATATATCTTCAAATACCAACCTTTCTTAACCACATCAGTCCGCATTTCCAACAATTTCTTTTGACCTGTGTAGTCACAGTAATTTTTGCTGTTGGTTTCTACACAACTGTGACCTTCTTTCCGAATGGTTAAAAACCCTTTTCCAAGATGGTAGGCTATAGCTGCTCCTAAAATCACAAAATAACAGGTTTGAATCTCAGTGGTGTGTTCAGTAAAATCTTAACTTAATTATTCTGTCCTCAATCTTCCTCTGTTGAAGGGATGAACTTTCAGGTAGTCACATTCCTAACAGATGGCTATTTTCCGTGCGATGATGAGAATAATTTCTTGCAACAAGTCAGTAATTACCCTCACTCCTGTCAGTCTCTAGCATAGCCCCTATTTTTGATTCCTCAAGTCACAGAACAACTAAGATCAGATCAGCTATTCATGAGGTGATTGGCATGGGGAGATACTGAAGAGGAAAATAACCTAAGGAAAGGATAAATGCCTGGCCATTTCGCATTGTCAACATAACTCCATTGGTCAATATAGAATAGCTGTAAATTTAAGTAACGGGCCCCCCTGTGATCAAACAGTACTTTTACAAATAAGCTAGTGCAGTAAATCATATTGCAATTACAATCATTGTCGTAATTTAGGAACTGCAGATTGTATTCTACATGGTCCTGCAGATTTAACTTTGGTTGTTCCACAGTTTCCCAAAATATCTATTTTATTTGAATTGGTGTTCTCCTCCAAATTCAAATGTAGCTCCAAGAGTCCAGAATTTATTGGAAGATTACTAGCAATCAGCCTGAAATGAGCAGTATGTTCTTTCATGATTCGCTTATTGGGGGTTAAGCCCTCTTCAGATACCCAGAGACAAGTAGACCTGACAATGATGGATTGTCTTTGTTTCTAATGTAGGAGGCCTATTATTTCAAGGGGTGGAAAAGGGGATAAAGGTCACATTTCATGCTTGCCCACTTCATAGGGTAGCTGATCATATAATTTATCAGTTACCTCCATTTCTATCTAATATAATTAATCTAGGTTTGTGAAATGTAACTTGCGCAGATTAAATTTAGTAGCAGGAAGTCTGAACATTGTGGATTTATTTGGATAGCCAGGGAAAGATCTCTCCTGTTTGGAAAGATAACTTTCCCTTTTGGAAAGTTCTCAGATGGTGTGGTAATGGATGCGCTAATGATTGATGCAGTACCATTGATAATGGGTAAACATTTACTCTTTCTATTTAGATTATTTTGTCTTTTAGCATTTCACTGTGCCAATCATTGTGAATATGATCTCAGGACATCTTTGGGGGAGGTCATGGATCTTTCGGAGCAATAAAATGCCTTTCAGGTGACGTGCGCAAAAAGTGCATTAACTAATTAGAGCTGTGAAGTTTTTTGGAACTGCTGAAAACAACTGTCAAAAGTATAAATACAAACAATACAAAGGATATTGTCAAGCTGTTGAGGCATTCAAAACTCCTGGCTTTTACAGTGTGGAATCAAAACTGCCTGGAATGATATAAAACCATGTTTATTATTTCATCACATCATAAGCTTCAAGGCTACTATTACTAGATTAGTGCTGCATGAGTGATTTCATAACCTTCCATGATCACAGTAAGGTGCTTGCCATTTCATTGTTTGATTGATAAATCTAAGTTACTAAAGTGTCAATGGGGACAATGAATTCTAGTGTTTGCTTTTATAAGGGATTATGTACTTGAATTAATGGGTTTGTTGTTACCAGTGATTATGTAGTTAAAATGTAATGAATCAGTTTTTATATATGAGTTGTTTTAAAAAACATTGCAATAGAAACATTGAACTTTACTTTACCTCAGTGTAGATCTCAAGGTCTGCCAAAGTATACACTGGATCAGTTGGCAAGGTAAGATGTAAGAGCAAAGGATATTGAATGGGAGCAAGGATTGGCAAGAGTTGGCACTACATTGGCATAGGGGCTATAACAAGCCCTGGAGAGTGGGTGGAGGGACACAGTTTGACCTGATACACAGAGTCAGACTCATACAGCATGGAAAGGAGTGTATAAGGGGTTATGGGATATTGGCAAAGTGGCATTTGCAGGCATATGGTCTAAAAATGCTGTGGGGTGAGTAGAGGGGCATAGGTTGGCATAGGGGCTGCAGTGGGCCATCATGGGTGGGCAGAGGGACATTGTTTGGTATGGTGTGTTTGTAAGATTATGGGCAGGAAAGGAGTATGAGGTGGCATAAGTTGGCAAGGATGGGGCACAGCAACTGTGGTGGGGAGGGAGCATGAGAAAGGGTTGTGGACTGGGAAGTTGTTTTATACATTATTATTTATTTTTGATAACTTCAACATGGTGCCAGAGCACCAAGGCAAACCTTCCATCCAGCCTGTCTCCTACCTGGATCGACTCCTAGAAAAATTAACTACCACAGCTTTCACCTTCCAGGGCACTTTCTCCCAGGTCGGGTTTGCGGAATTGGGAGATGTACTGACTCTGCAGGTCCAGGCTGTGGTTTTCATTTTGCACCAAAGAATAAAACTGTTGATACTGAATGGTTGATCTCACAAAACTGTACTTCAGGTTAGAGCACTGACTGACAAGAGCATAAGCCCAATAATTTTAAAGGTCCATCTTACATCCTTTTTCTCATGTTGCAAACTTTTATATTGGGATTAAAGTCTTAGCAACTCTCCCTTTTTAGGACAAGGTATAGTATAAATAGTGAGATAAGTTTCTGCAGATCAGGAACAAAGATTCATTAAGATAGATGCTTTCCCCAGATCGGACTTCAGATCTTATCCCCGAAGAAGTTTGACAACTGTATGTTTGAAATGTCTCCTTGCAAATAAATGACTTACAATAATTTGAAATTAATTATTTGTGAAAATTGTGTTATTTGATGGAAAGAGGAAAAGCTGATATTCTTTAGAAATTCTATGAGCCTGTGATGGTGGTGAGATTACTGGACCCCAATACTTTAAGCACACACTGCTTGTGATAAACAGATCATTGGATTGAATGGAACGCCATTCACAGGCAACACTCCTATGGTAGAACTGTATCTGTTCACAGCAGACAACGTTTAGCATTTAATTGAAACCTGACTCCAACATGCTTAAATAGATTTTGTGATAATGTATTCAATTTGGAAGAAACGGCAAGTTTGAAAAACTAAGCTTGTGCTAAAAGACTAAATCCTCAAAGAATTTTAATATGTTTCCATCAACCAAATGCAGCAACTTTGTTATAACAGCATGATGCAAATCTTTTCAAACCAACTTCTTTCAAAGAAGGAAAAACAATCAGGATTAAGCTACAGGAATGAGGACAAACCTTATTCAATGAAATATTTAACATATCCTTTCAGAAATGTTCCATGTAAGAAGGAATGGCATTTAGTTTAACCTCATGATGGGTTATGGAAACATGGAGGATTAAGGGTTCACTGAAGTCAATGGATGTTGCATCTGCTTGTAACTACTGATCAGCAGTTAATGAATTGGACATAATAATAGATGTAGAAATCTTACAATCTTTGGACAATTGAGGATGAAATCTTAAGCCAACAATGTGCCCAACGGTGTTCAGCACGTCACCAGGTAGAAAGCAGGCTCCAAGCAAACCTAACCTGAGGCTTTGCATTAGGCGTATTAGCTTAGAGCAGGCTCCAATCGTATAAGCCTTTCTACCTCTCTATCTTTCTGTCTTCCTTTAAGATCCTCATTAAAGTGTACCTCTTCAACTAAGTTGTGGATCACCTATCCTAATATCTCTTTGGGGTGGATTATTTTTGGGGTGGGTGGGAGTGGGTGGTGGTCAGGGGACTAATTGCTTGATCCTATATTAGATTGTAAAAAGGCCACCCATAGTGTGGCCTTAACAGGTACAGAGTGGGACTTAAATCTCTTAGTGGAAAGAAACACTACCTTCAAGAGCCACCAGCCAATCTGACTTGCCAGCAGTTCTTGCAGTCCGAGCACCAGAGCTCTGTAATCTTCAAGCATCTCCACAAGGATTGATGGCAACTGGATACAGCTACATTCTGGTCTTTTCAGACAGGGAGAAATCAGGCAGCCTACGGTAACAGGGACGGGGAGGTACAGGGTGTGGCAGAGGGTTGGGAGGAGGGTCTTGGAGGCCTGTGGATGGAGTAGTCACAAAGAAAGGGGAGTATTATCTTAGGGAAGGTATTCCATAATGTGCAGAGGGCCTTCCCTGTAAGGATGTACCCCTCTTCTTTCCTGCCTAAGAACAATGGACTTTCTCTTCTCATCTGCCTTCCACTTCTGAGCACATTATAGGTGTGGAGGTGGATTGAAACCTTTAACTGCTGCTTAATTAGATAGTTAAGGACTTCAATAGGCCCAAGGTTGTGGAGGCTAATCCCCACCAGCAAAAACACATTGATGGAGAGGCTGTAAAACCCAACCCCTCGTATGGATATGTGTTAAAATTTGTCTCATAGCACTACTGTGAAGTACCTCAGGTCATTTTCCTTTGATAAAGTTACTGGATTACTGCAAGTTGTTGTTGTTTACTGAAAGCCAACAAACTATTGCACTGTGGAGATTATGGCAACTTAATAGTTGTGCTGCAGGAGTAGCCTGATATTCAAATGGCACATTGTGACATTCACTTCAAGAGATCTACAGGTTTAAGGCTAACACCAGGAGAAATTATCATTTAAGGTAATGAAATTAAAGAGGAAAATGCTGGAAACACTCAAGTGGAGACGGATACAGTAAACATTTCAGGTCGACTACCTTTAGTTAGAACTGCGTGATAATGAACATTGAGTCTGCTTTGCCATCCAATGAAATTATGGCTGATTTGATAACCTCCAACTCCACTTTCCTGACCTTTATCCATAGTCTTGATTCACTTACTGATTAAATATCTGTATATTTCAGTCTTGAATATACATAATAACCGAACTTCCACAGCTTTTGGTGGTAAAGTATTTCATAGATTCACTACCCTCCGAGAGAAGAAATTCCTCCTCAACTTTCTCTTAAATGTCTGACCCCTTATACTGAGATTATGCCCTCTGATCCGAGAATTTCACAGAAGGGAAATCAACCTTTCCATATCTACCATGTCAAGTTCCTTAAGAATCTTGCATGGTTCAATAAAAACATAAGAAAGAGGAGCAGGAGTTGGCCATTCAGCCCATTGGCCCACTTCACCACCCAATATAATCATGGCTGATCTCATCTCAGCCTCAACTCCACTTTCCTGCCCACTCCCATAGCCCTTTGACCCATTGCCAATCAAAAATCTATCTCCACTCTTAATTTATATGGTATCCACTGCACTCTGCAGTCATGAATTGCACCTCTGTTTTCACCTTTGTTTTAAATCTACCATCCCTCAGTAAAATATCTATGGATTCTTGTTCTAGATCACCCCACAAATGATTCAAGATGGCGCCAACACCTGGTGACTCCTTGCAAGCTCCCTACAGCAGATCTAACTCTAACATTTCTTATAACCATTCTACACTCTTAAACTAAATCTGTAAAAATTCCTGTGTGCCTTACTCTGTCCAAGTTTTCTTTTCACCCTGTGATCTGTATGTCCTTGCTTACTATGATTTTTCTGACTGGTTGCAAACAAAGCTTTGCACTGTACTTATGTACATATGACAATAGATCAAATCAATCAATCAATCAGGGGAAACATATATGTTTCTCTATGTCTACTCTGTCAATCCCCTTTGACATCTTATTTCAATTAGATCTCCTCTCTTTGACCTCACGTCACCTCCCATTCTACTGTATTCCAAGAGTACAGGCCCAAACCACTCAACCGTTCCTCATAAGACAGTCCCTCCTTATCTGGTATCAGCCTAGCAAACCTTTTCTGAACTGTCTCCAATGCCAGGATATCATTCATGAGATAAGGCGCCCAAATCTGTTCACAGAATTTCAGCTGTTGTCTGACTGGCCTTACTGCCTTTGGGACAAATGTACATGAATGAACAGTGTGCAACTTTCACTTGTTCCTCCAAGAAACGTTAAAGAAGTGTAAACTTACTGTCTTTCTAAATGTCTAGTCTACTATCGAATAAAGCTATTCTAGGCTAGTCAGTCTGAACATTCTGTCGCTGGGTGCTAAGGCTGTCTCTCACAATGGGAGATTAGCCTTTAAACTGACAAACACTAGGACTCCCAGTTGGGTTTACTTTTGAAGTCGAGACCAAACACTGAAACCCAGTGTGATGATTTATTACTGAATGAAATAAGTTTTGTTGAACACCATAATATTTCAAGTCAATTACATCCTAGGAATTTCACCTTGTTTCAAAGCTGCAAAAATTGGTATAACTAAGACGAATAGTGTGTCAACCAAAAAACATTATGACAAAATGCTGAATTTAACATTACACCACACTCCAAAAGAAATTCTCTTGGTAATTAAACTGTTAAGATTTCTGCATTGCATAGTTACCTAGAACAAAGCCCATGGCATCAATCCCAGCTATGATGTCTATGGCATCATTCTGGAAAGGCTGGACCAAGTCTTCTACACAGTCTTTGAGGGCCTTAAAAATAAATAAAAGACACATTAAACCACCTTAATGGATGAAACCAACATTACCTCAAAATTGATCTGAATGTGGAAGGTTTTATTAATCTAAGCTTGACTTCTCATATTCTTCATCGTACTAACTCTGCTGTAGATAGAACCACAGGAGCAATAATTCGCCCATTGACACTGTTCTTCTGCTCAATGGGATCGTGGCCAATCCGAATACCAAAAGGAGACCAGAGTCTAACTGGTAATCAAAAGTTTGGAGTTTCCATGAAAGCACTAACTCGCCCATTCTCAATTCAATAGATGAGTTGTAATCTGGAAAATGGCAGCGTTGTTCCTTTTCTTCTGCCAAAGTCTCAGCTGAGGTTTGTGAGAAATTTAATGTTGACTGGAGATCATAATGCAAAGTTTCTGAATGGCATTGTGTCTGGTAATATTAGTAGGTAATTTACCTTAAATAAATCAGTTGCTAAAATAACCTTGTTTGGAATATTTATCCTTTGATGTGTCCTCACTGGGGAGAAAGAAAATCAAAATATGATAATATCTGGCCCTCTATTGCGAGCCTTGAAGTCACTCATTCAGAGTGAATTGATGAAGCTTAGAAGCTAGTTACTCATTTGCCTTCTTGGCAGCAACTATAATTAAGCTGAGGAGCTAAAGAGAAATGAGGAGGAAATGGAAAGATTTCATAACCTGACAGAATACATTTTCAAATGATTCAGAAGCCAGTGTGTAAATTTAAACAGCATGAAGTCACCGTCTCAGAAGGTTCCTCAATGCCAGCTGAGTGCCAATATGTGGGTTAGGGTAATGAGATGATTCTGGGGACATAGCCCACATTAAGGAAGGACTAAGGCTTCCACGTTTTATATGGTTCCCACTCCCCCGGCCCACAAGTACATTTTTTTAGTATTTAAAGTCTATTTTGCAGGGTGTCTTCTGGACTGTCAGAGAGCTCAGTCTAGTTTTGGCAGTAAAGACTCAATGGGCTGAAGAGCCTCTTCTGTACAGTATGATTCTACAATTCTAGATCATAACCACTCACTGTGTGAAGTAAGTTTATTTCTCCTGTCATCATCGCTTCTTTTGCAAAATCCCTGAAATATGTGTCCTCTTGTTCTTGATCTTTCACCAGTGGGGCTTGTGTTTTGCTATCTATTCTGTCCAATCCCCTCATAGTTTTGAATACCTCTATCAAATCTCCTCTCAACCATTTCTTCTCTTAAGACAATAGCCAATCTTCCATGTAATTTATGTTTGTCTTCTCTGGAACTATTCTTGTGAATTTTTTCTACACTGTCTCTAATTCCTTCACATCTTTCCTAAAGTGTGGACCCAGAAAGGGACTTAATATGCCAAACTTAATGAGGTCAAACCAAAGCTGTGTAAGTTTAACATTCTTCCTTGCTTCCATACTCTATGCCTCTATTAATAAAGCCTAGGATGATGCTGTTTGCTTTATTAATCACTCAACCCGTCCAGCCACCTTCAATCATTTATGCATGTATACACCCAGGTCCCTCTGTCCTGCACCACCTCGAGATCTATGCTCCTTATTTGATATTGTTTCTCCATGTTCTTCCTACCAACCTAGATCACTTTACACTTCTCTGCAATTAACTTTCATCTGCCACTTGTTCTCTCATTCTGTTAACTTGTCTACATCCTTTTGACATTCTTATTCTCCACATGGTTCAACATACTTCCAAGTTTTGTATCTCAAATTTTGGAATTATGCCCTACACTCCAGAGTTTAGGTCATTTCTAAATATCTGAAAGATCATGGACCACAACCCCTGGGGAACTCCACTTCAAACCTTCTACCAGTCTGAAGAAACATCCATTTAACATTGCTCCTGATCCAAGGTGGCAGCAGAGTAGAACGCTCCAGCTGGAACTTGTTCGCTCCGTCCGTTTATTCATCGGTTTGTTTTTTCCTCTTTTTTTTATCCTTTTCCCTTGGTGTTTCTTCTCGGCCTCAGCACGGACCAGACGAGGTACCTGTGGTAGTGTCCCAGCCTGGTCTCTCGGCTGCTCGTGGCAGTGTGTTGACCCAGTGTCTTGAATTGGCAAATGATTGGGCCTTGCTGGGACATGTTCCAGCGGCACTAGCAGTAGGTCTGGGAGTTGGCAGATTCAGCAGCAGCGATGGCATCGTAGCCGAATGCGGGAAGAGTGAGCAGTGAGGGAGGTCCCCCAGTATCTGCAGCGGTGGCATCGAGAACAGACAGCTGAGGTCTCCCAGAGCAGGAAATAAGTGAAGAACTCATCAAAGACTGGTGAGCTTTTAATTTAATTCCTTTATTTTCTAGTTTAAATTAAGAAAGACTTTAATGTTAACTATAACCCTACTTCTTTGTGTTTCTACTCATTCTATGAGGGTAATGCTTAACTTTTTAAGTTTGTTTCTTTTATTACTTTGTACCTTAGTTTCTTGTCCATAGGCACTTTTGTACCCGAGGTGATGCCATGTGTGGCAACATTATACACTATTCACTGTACTCCTGTACCTCTGTACTCGAGTACACGTGACGATAAAATCTAAATCTAAAATCTTTGTTCGTCATTGGGCTAATTTTGTGTGTTGCTACAGTCCATGAGATACAACTTTACCCTGAAGTTTGTCATGTGGTGCTTCTGGTAGTCCACATACAGCAGATCAGTAGCATTACCAGTATCAAAGCTCTCTGTTAACTTATCAAAAAAGTCCAACACAAACATAATTAGCACTTAACAAATCTTTGCTGGCACGCTTTAATTAACACGCATTTGCCCTAGTGACTATGGTGTTTTTTTACCTTCCCAAATGACTGTTTCTAAAAGCTTCCCACCCCCAGAGGTGTAATTGACTGGCCTTAGTAGCAGGACTTGTCTTTACACCCATTTTAGAATAACTATGGAACATCTGCAATTCTCCACTGCTCAGGCGCCATATCCAAGTCTACAGAAGACTGGAAAGTTGTGGCTAATTCGTCTGTAATTTGCACTCTCACTTCCCTCAACATCCTTGGATGCCTCACACTTGCTTCTTGTCCCTTATTAACTTGAAGTACAGATAGTCTATTCAATACCCACTCCTTATCAATTTTCTATCTCTTCTCTGAATGCAGCTCATTGTTTAGCTAATGTTTTGCCTGCAATCTCTAATTCCAATTGATCTGAGCCAATTTTCTTCTCATCCACCAAAGCTGGTTATCCACCAGTTAATATTTTCTTATTTGGTCAGTTATTTGTCTTTTGTCCATAACCAATCTGCACTGTAAGATATAACGATCACTGTCTGGTACACGTGTTCCCCTACTGGCATTTGTTCCACTTGGCACACCTTGTTCCCAAAAACCAGGTCCAAGAGTGCCCCCTTTCCCATTGGACAAGAAGCTAGCCTATGGGTGCTTTGGTCTGGTTGAGGAGACATAGCTGCTTCCCCTCCCTACTCAGACTTCTGATCAAAATCTGAGGTGACTCAGGCCAATTCTGGACTAGAATCTTCCTCTGTGCCCATCATGCTGGCTTCAACCTGAATATTTTAAACAAGCAGTAGCATTAGAAATCAAAATAATAGTGTTCTAAAAATAGGTGAGGATGTGTTGTTTTTCTATGTATTTGATTGGTGTTGGTCTTTCTAGGAATGTGTAAAATGTCCACTGAGCTGCAGTTGCATTATTACTGTATGATACAAGCAATGTTACCCAATGTCAGTACCATTACATTTAAATGATTGCATATTATTAAATCTTCTACCTGTTGGTTACAGTAGAGTCTGGATGGATCAAGCCAGGCATACCGTGGGCCCTTTACATTGGGTGCTATGAGAGCTAAATACCAACTTCTTCCACGCTCTGCGGGTATATTCAATGCATCCATGCTAGGGAAAGAAAAGACAATTGATCAAAGATAGAGGTACATAGAAATTGCGACACAGAAACAAATCAATCTATTCAACTTGTACATTCCAGTGTTATGCTCCACTTGAACATCTTCCCACCTTCCTTCATTGTACCTAACAGACATATCCTTTCATTCCTATAAAATAAATGTAGTTTTAGTTTTTGGAAGCTCTTACAGTCTCAACACAAGGAATTTGAGCATTCTCTTCATTCCCTGAAAACAACAGGTTTCCATTCTTATTGCCTGAACTCTGTCATAGTTGTGGTAGGCCCAGGAATACGTGACTCTTCCTCCTTCATGTTGAAAACTGCTGCTCGTGTTTTAACCTTCTTCCCTGTCAAATACTGGAACAAGATAATCAGTTTCCCATGTCTGTTATATGAAAACTATCTCTGTCTTTTATAATATTAATCGCTTGCGAAACCAAAACCAAATATTGAGCGAAAGATTGGTTCTTACTTAGGTGAAGATCAATGGTATCTGATCAGCTCGAGGGCCGTGGCAGTGCCTGTGTCAAAAGTTGTAACCCAATCTAGGGTCAGCTGTAAAAATAGTTTAACTCCACCCAGGAAGCCTTAAATAGGTTTCAAGGCTGTCAAGACTGTCTTGACGAATAGTGTAACTACACCAATTTTAAAAAAGACTAATGTGCTGCTTCTCAACATTTGACTTAAGGGAGATAACTTTTTCAGTTCTTCTATAACTGTTTTGCATTTTTATGATTTCAAATAAATGCAGCTCTCATTAATGTTTCCAGACCCACGAGATTGCAAGGTGAATGACTTGTGTTAGTCAGCATGCTGAGTGTGTGTGTGTGTGTGTGTGTGTGTGTGTGTATGTGTGCGCACGCGCGCTGGCGTGTGTGTGTGGTGTTAGTGGGACTGGTGATCTTTACACTACCACAGCTGCCAGCATGTGGTATTACTCTGATCACCGTTACTGGCATTAAGTGGTGGCTTAATCTCTGGGCACAGAGTCTGAAGTAATTCTCTATCATCAATCCTCCTTTGTCAATACTATTTCCAAGGCTATGTAGTGGTTACTGGGAGGGGATATACCAACATAGAGTATACACTGTTCTAAGTTAACAAAGTTTATTGCAACAACTACATTCTAGTCAGGCATTATACTAGGATCTCAGCGAGCTGATACAGATACATCTACGCCCTCTGAAGACTAAAGTAGAATTTATTGCCTCCACTCACACTGTGTGTCACATCAGTAGAATGAGTACAGCTAATATACATAAACATTAACCCCTTCAGAACCAATACCTTACACTACACAGCGTGCAGAATGTTTCTGTCACTGGTATGGTGAGAATGACAGCGAGTGAGATGACGAAATCAGGCAAGGATGTAAAACTCGGATTCTCAACATTATCCAGCCTAGTTAGTACCTATATAAGAGGAGAGAGAGAATTAGCTTAGAGAAGATGGATAAAAGCTTGTTTGGAAGGAGGAAGAGTTAGCATTGCTGGTAATAGGAGAGGAGCACAGCACAGCACATCACATCTCGCTTGCATAAATACTATGGTGAAAAGCTGAAAATTGCATGAGATAGCTCTCCCTGGGCCATGTTGTGAATGACACTGTGAAAGTCCCTGGACAACACTTTTGAACAGCCAATGGGAAAATTATGGCTGTGCTTGTATCTCCAGTGTTGGAACTTAGAGATTCCTCCTGTTACACCACAGAATCTGAAGGCAGCTCAGTATGTTCATACCTTTCGTGAACTCTCCACTTAGAGTCACAGAGTCATACAACATGGAAACAGACCCTTCGGTCTAACCATTCCACTCGAACATGTTCCCAAACTAAACAAGTTCCATTTTGTTCCATATCCCTTCAAATGTTCCCTATTCATGAACTTATCCAAATGTCTTTTAAATGTTGTAACTGAACCTGCATCCATCACTTTCTTTGGCAGTTCATTCCACACGCGAACCACTCTCTGCGTAAAAAAGTTGTCCCTCATGTCCTTTCTTAATCTTTCTCTTTTCACCTCAAAAATATGTCCCCTAGTTTTGAAGTCCACCACCCCCCACGCCCCGCCCCAGGCTGCCTAGGGAAAAGACCCTTGTCATTCACCTTATCTATATTTTTCTGCCTGTTGTTCATCCTGTATTGGGATGAAAAGAAAGGTTTTTAGAATTTGCCTCCAAAGAGGCAGAAAATTTTCTGACTCAAACGCTGGCTTGAGCTGGATTTTGTTTTTTAGATTATTTGGATGGTTGTTTGCCAGAGAACACAAGACTTACACATCAAGTCAAATGTTCAGACAATAACTTTGCAGTGCGTTCAGACAAAAAGAAAGTGAGCTTACTTTGCAATCAACAAGGATGCTTAAAATGTTTTAATGTGTGTGTATACAGCAATTTACAGAAACTGGATAACAATTTCACTGCAGCATTACCCACAGGAGATCTGGAGCTTGTGTGAACAGGGCAAATAACAACAATTCTTCAAATCATTGTGTGTTGGACTGAATGCGTTGAAAGTATGAAACTGTGCTGTGTAAAATAAAGTTTCAGCTCCAGCAAGGTTGATTGATTGCAGTCAAGACTTATCATACATTTAAACTTACATTGCAATGGACATGAGCTAACTGTTTTCGTGTTCTTATTATTCCTATTGAACTATCAGTTCACATAGGCACTTTAACATAAGTAACAGTCTTGCTCAATTAAAACAGCTTGAAAACACAATGGCCAAATGTCTGGAAAAAGCTAAAGAAACCATTTCTTCTTAGTTTAGAACTGCAGAACTTAATTTAAAAATGCACACAAAAAAAATGCAGCCTTTCCCTTTATAGAAAATTAAACAATGCTGGAAAGCAGACTCTGTTATTCTGTTGACAGTGATCTATTTTATCTGATTCTGTATTGCTATATAATACCAGTCTCAAATGAACAAAGAAATTTTAAAAAGTTTACCTATTTGACTGTCGTTTATTCCTCAATTAGTGTTTCTCCACTTTGAGAAAACTTTCCCAAAGAAGATAAAAGTAGCAATTACTTGAAGCTTCTTTTTTCGGAGATTATCAGTTCTCTTTTTCTGGACCTTGTTCATCTCCCCTTATGTACAATTAACCTATGGAGTAATGCCATGGGATCAAAGTACTCTGATAACCAAACTGCTCAGAGTTAATTTTGAAGATTTCAAACTCTCTAGATCTGTTAATTTTAAACTCAATGTTACTGATCATTAGACATCCATGTGAGGTCTGGGGAAATACCTTGTGAAAAATTTAGAATCGAAATTGCTGTTTGTGCATCTGTAATTCCAATAGATTGGGATTTTAAACAAAGCCTCTCTGAATGTAATACTAATTCAATGCATTTCTTGCAGTTTCTCAGCTATACACTTGAAGATTTCTCTGGCAGAATGACATGACATGGGTGGGCATCGATTTCCTGCCACATTGCAACCACGTAAAGAGTTGTAGAATCCATTTAAAAATGAGCAATCACAAGGGGGATTCATTAAAGGTAAAAGTAAAGTTGCTACCATAGGGCAGCTCTCTCATTCTGGTAATGAGTGGTTGGGGTCTAACCTGAGAGTCTTCAAGCCTCAGGCAAGGGGAGAGGCTGAGAAGGAGAGTCCTTCATGGTAATCCCAGTCTGTGCAGGAGTTGAACCCACTGTGTTGGCAGCACTCTGTATCACAAACCAGCCATCCAGCTAACCGAGCTGAGTCATTTGAAAATAGAAAATAAAAACTAACTAGCTATTGGCGAATTGTACTGATTTATGAATTTTGAAGGCATTGAAATTCCCCACAGTACCAAGGAAGGTAGAAATGCTACTGTGCGAGTTTAGGAGGAAAACGTAGCTCCACGGGGCACTTCATGGAGAGGACAACTGTGTTGTATCTCAGTGAGGAGGTGGCACATAGGGTCCCTCCATGGATCACTACCTTGATATGGCAGAGAAGATTATGAACTCTGATGATCCCTCGAGCAATGCTCTTTGCTCATGGCAAGGCCACCAGTGGTAACAGGACTAGGGACAGTTGCCGGTCCAAATGCAGTCCAAAAAGTCCTCAATAGCTAAACAGGGAAAGGATGATGCTGCATGTCACCAACCATAAAGGCAGAAGAAGGCTGTAGAGGGAAGGTGGTCCTGGTCATTGTGGTTCGCGATGTCGCTAAAACCTGACCACCAACAGGTCAAGATCGTTTCAACAAGCACAACGGTCAAGGTTCCCACATTAAATATAGTCACATTGTAAGCTTCTACCTCCATTTGCCAAATCCTGTGGCAATGGGGAATTAATGATGGGGACAAGGGAGCATTTAATCAAGAGCCTGCACATGGACAACAGATATATGAAGGTTGTGGCATGTCTTTGGGCAGTAGTATCTGTGATTGTGTCATCCTCTTCTGGATACCTCTTCAAATGATGGACCAATCAACAAATGTCTTAATGTACGTAGTCTTGTACAGTGTGAGCTCCGCACTGTGTATCATTAACACTGACAGCAAAAAACTTTGCTCCAGAAATACTGAAAAATTAATTATTAAACCTCCTGAAGAAATCCCGCATGGAACAAATTCAAAGTCCAACCTCTAAAATAAATAATGTTAAAATATATTAACTTTTAAACTAAAAATCTAACTTTGAGGTAGTCTAATTGTAACTTATCTGAACTAATTGCTTGCTCCAGGAGAACTCTTTCTTACATCCAACTTCAACTATGACTATGCAAACTGAAGAAAAAAGTTTTCCGAGCTTTGGGTATTTCCCTGAGGAAAACAAAATCAATCCCTGATCCCTCTCCCTGAAAGCAGGATAATGCTTTTCAATGTTTATTTTGTCTGCTCAACAAGCTCTTCCAATGGAAACAAAATTCCCATTGCCATTCCAGGAACTATCTCTCTCATACGGGTTTCAAAAACAAAGGCATAGCTCAAGAAATGCTGACAAGTTAATTGTTGAACCATCTTGTACACACAGCCTAAACCCAAATGCCACTAATTCAAGATCCAAACTTTAAAATAAATGATGTCAAAACATATAAATTACACACCTTACATCACAATTTTAATGAATGGAACATTGTTGAGATGGCTGAAAAGCATCCCTTTGCCAGGTCCTGTTTTTCCAACTTTCAAATGTCAAATGCTTCAAAGATACTGCAAGCATTTTTGTTTATTGATGGGGAGGAACCTGCTGCCAATTGTGCAGAATGGGAATAACTTGTCTATCAAGCTGCATGATGTCTTAATGCTGAGGCAGTGCAGCATTAGAAAAGGATAGAGAAGGAGGCAAATCCTGAACTCTGAATCTAATTACCTCACAGAGCAAACACATGACATTTCTCGAAGATCTGAAAGTCAAGATTTGGCCTGCTCAGTCACATATGGACCCATGGCAGAAAATTATGACTGTGAGGAGACATTATCCTCAAATCCAGAGTTAACCAGCACCATTGCTGCTGGTCAATACTATGCCAAGAACCCACTTGACCTGGAATCAAATGCATAAAATGATGGAAGATAAAATTGTTAGTAATAAGCTACACATCAGCTCAATGCTCTAGAATTCATGCCACAGAATCCCTACAGTGTGGAAGCAGGTTATTTGGCTCATTGTGTCCACATCAACCCCCTAAAGTACAGTCCACCCAAACCCACCACTTCCCATCCTATAACCCTACATTTGCCATGGATAATCCACCTAGCCTGCACACTACAGGTAATTTTACATGGTCAATCCACTTAGCCTACACTTCTTTGGACTTAGAACACCTGGCAGAAACGCATGCAGATACAGGGAGAATGTACAAACTCCACATAGGCAGTCACCCAAGGCTGGATTCAAACCCGGGTCTCTGGCGCTGTGAGGCAGCAATGCCGCCCATAGTGTCTGTTAAATTGCTAGAATTGTAGTGCAACCCAATTAAAAAGCATTCAATCTACTATACAGTTCCTTCTTTATGATTAGACATGCTCTTACTCTAACAAGCAACATAATACAGCTGCAACTTATAACTGTGCTCCAGGAACAATGACTCATTGAAAGTTTGCATATTATAAATGCTTCCAATCCAACCCAGTTTCATGATGAATTGCCATTTATGATTTTATAAATTGAAATGCAGGATGGAAATGTGATTCTCACTGCCGGGAAATGCAGTGACTCTACAATACAAATCTGCTTCAAGACAAGAGAATCCATGTGAATTCTAGGGTCTTTGGACTTGACAAATAAATTCGGCAGAGGGAAACCTTGTTTTTTTAACAACACCGGAAGATTTATTAAAAATAAAAGTATGCAACTGAACACACCAGATAGTAGTTTACTGGTTGCGATGGACCTTAATTCCTGTGCTAACCTTGGACATGGGGCAGGTCACTCAGCTGAGTGCTTGCTGCCTCTTCTTTCCTGCGTCTTGCAGTCACATTGCTTCTCCCTTATATTGCTATGACCTTTAACGTTAGTGTAAGGCAGTCTGCTGTGGTGTTACATGAAGGTGGGGTCTCGGCTCTGCCCTTTTATCCTGATTCCAGTGTGGAAATTGCTACATGGCTACTGAAAGCTTCTGGAGGTGCATGACAGCTCTGTGATAGCCCATGTCAGTATCACTCTGTCCACATGACTACAGTTCACATTCCAGTTGCAAAACAGGTCTAGAACGGCTGCTTGCTATGTGCCATATGTGACACTTTTCTGCACTAACAGGTAAATCCTGTATACCTTTAGAATGTATCAGAGATAGTAGGAACTGCAGATGCTGGAGAACCTGAGATAACAAGGTGTAGAGCTGGATGAACACAGCAGGCCAAGCAGCAAGCCTTCCTGCTCCTATGATGCTGCTTGGCCTGCTGTGTTCATCCAGCTCTACACCTTGTTACCTTTGAT